GGGTATTAAGGGGTTGCAGGATTTAAGCAGAGCAGGGGAGGACAGAGAGTCTTGGAGAGGCCTCATCCATAGGGTCGCCATGGGTCAAGATCGACTCGAGGGCAGTTAACAACAAACAAAATCTATGTACATCTAGCAGTTGCCCGAAAGCCTCTGCCTCCAACCAAGAAGGCGTCAGTTTTGCACCACCGGCTGTGACCGATAGGTGGCGCTGCGGGGCCATTTGTCCCGGAAGGCGACGATCACGTAGAGAGCCAAGCCTATTTCCGGAAACGGGGGCTGAGGGTGACGTACTTCCGCCTTGCCCTGTGAGCTTGGCTAAGGGGATGCAGGATTGTGGAAGGCGGTTGGAGCAGCCAGGAGCCCCGGGAAGAAAGGAAGGAAGGAAGGTCCTGGCCCTGCTGGCTGCCCGGCTTCCTCAGCGTGAAAGGCCCAGAGGGGGCCTCGGGCGTCCCAGGAGCTGTGGCGACCCGAAGAACCGGGAGGGTCGGTTGAATGGAGGTCGCCCTTGGAAGAGCCAGGGCAGCCATTTGCCCAGGAACCCTCGTCCTCCTTGAAACAAGCCCAGCCTGGTGTTTTCCTCCAGATGAGCCGGACTCCAGTTCTCATCCATCCCTAATTTCTTCCTGTTAGTCTGTTTCTGCAAACTATAAATCCTCCTGGGTGCCTCAAAAGACTTACTAACTGGGTGTGGGGTTGTGGTTGTTAATTGTTATTTTGTGTTCCTTCAAATCATTTCGGACTTAGGGAGACCCTGTCATGGGGTTTCCTTTGCAAGGTTTGTTCATTGAACTTCCCCTGAGGCTGAGAGAGTGTGAGTGTGAGCAGCGGTATCAAAGTGCATTATCATCTGCAGTGTAGATGTAGCCAAAAATGCAAAGGTGAACCTATTGTGGGGTTTTCTTGGCAGGGTTTGTTCAGAGGGGGTTTGCCATTGCTATCCTCTGAGGCTGAGAGAGTGTGACTAGGCTAAAGTCACTCAGTGGGTTTACATGGCTGCCAGAAGATTCAAACCCTGGTCTCCAGAGTCATAGCCCTAGATTCAAACTCGGGGCTGTTCGACAGTGGACTGGATGGCCCTTGTGGTCTCTTCCAACTCTATTATTATGTTACTCCCTGCATACCCCCGAGCAGCTCCAAATTCTATATTTTTATTCAGGTTGTTTCCAATTTCTGTTGTTAGTTGCCCTCGAATGGACTTCGACTCATGACACCCCATGGATGAGACATTTCCAAGCCCCCCATCCTCCACTGTTCTGCTTAGTTCCTGTAAACTCATACCCGTATGACGTACCTAATAGAGTCCATCCATCTTGCAAGCAGTCTTCCACTGGAGACCCTATTACAGGGCTTTCCTGGGAAGGTTTATTCAGAGGAAGTTTACCTTTGCCTTTGAGGCTGAGAGAATGTGGCTTGCCCAAGGACACCCAGTGGGTTTCATGGCTGAGGAGGGATTTGAACCCTGGTCTCCAGAGTCGAGGTCCAGCATTCAAACCACTACACTACATGCTGGGTCTCACACTATGGTGATCATATTGTGAGCTTTTGTGGGCTATGGTTCACTTCATCAGATGTTTTATGTGTCTCCAGCTAACATCATAATGACAGGAGTTGCAGCCCAACACATTAGGACACAAATGGGCAAAGTTTTAAGCAAATAGTTTTAGCTGTCAGCAATTATGGAAAAGCTTTAAGGATCTGGAGTTTCTGCCTCCCTTTTAGTAGTCTTAACAATGCTACATATGCATCTGGTTCTTTTCCTAAATGCTGAGGGAACTTCAGCTACATAATTTTGTAAGACTGGTTTTGTTATGCTGCAGAGTTGCATAGAGAAACTGATGATGCTGTTTTGTTGTTTTATTTTGCTTTATTAGCTGGTTGGTATTTGGATGGGAGGCCTGAATGAATGAATACCAATGAGTGCTGTAGGCTATGTTCTGAGGAAGGAACTGGCAAAACACCCTCTGAGTATTCCTTCCCTAAGAAAACCCTATGAAATTTATGGGGTTGCCATGATTCAACAGGTGATTTGAAGGCATCTGTGCATGCACAGAGCAGAGGAAGCTGTTGGGGTTCAGGCCAGACAAGATGCTGTGTCCTCTGGGCTGGGCTATAAATCAGCACCTTTCATCAGGCAATACCTCTAGTTGTGTAACCTTCCACATCGAGGTTAGGGAAGTCCTTCATGCAACTGATTGAAACAGCATTGCACCACTGAGTTAATGCTGCTCTCTGGCATTTTTCAGGGAGCCCTGATTTTATGCTGCTGTAGCTTTTCCTGGTTGTCGTCTTCTGCTTTTGAGGTCTGACATATTATATACTTGTATTTGAACATTTTGGGTTGTCTCATTATATTTTGATTGCTTCTGCACTCGATGGGTGCTGGAAACAACATTCAGGTTTGTTGCTGTTACAGCAGAGTACAGCACAACAGCAATACATTTAAAGATTTCTTCCAGCAGCCACTGAGTATACTAAATAAAGAATAACCTATGTTCATGTGTATGACACACAATAGCCCTACAAGTCAACTCAGAAGAAGATCATATTGAGTTCATTGGAGCTTCCTCCCAAGTATTTGGTGATGTAGTCTCCTTCTTTGGAGGCTTTTAAACAGAAGCTGGATGGCCATTTGTTTGGGGGGGGGTGTTAATTATGTATTCCTGCATGGAAGAATGGGGTTGGATTGGATGGTCCTTGTGGTCTCTTCCAACTCTATGATTCTGTATATGGATTGCAGTCTAAATCTGTACAAGTCTAGATGCCTGGAGATTGCCTCATGTTAAACTTGAGTCCATCTTGTTTGGAGGAAGGCATTGGAGGTTTCTAATGTAAAGCAAAGCATCTTCATTTATATACCACTTCATACCATGCTATGGAGTGTCTAAGCGGTTTACAACTGTAAGCTCATTGCCCCCCAACAGCTGGGTACTCATTTTAGTGACCTCAGAAGGATGAAGGCCTGAGTCAAGCCTGAGCCCTGGCTAGTATTGAACTCGCAACCTTGTGGTTTATGAGTGAGTGGCTGCAGTACAGGCATTTAACCACTGCGCCACCAAGGCTCCTAACTGTAGACAGATTAAAAATGTACATATTTACACATCTGTAGCATGATGAGAAATAAGAAGTGATGGTAGTACTCTTAACAATACTACATATGCCTCTGGTACTTTTCCTTAGTGTTCAAGGAACATCATAATCTCAAGCATGGTCTATGAAGACAGCTGTATAAGTTGATGTAATCATTGACTGATTAAATGGGTTGTTTCTACACTTTGGTTCCAGGGGGTTACTTTGGAATATTCACTTATGGGAAGAATCCCCACAATAAAAATATACTAGCTTGCCCCGGCTTTTTTCTCCCTGGTATACTTGTTTTCTGCTTGAAGGAAGATTTGATGTAGGGAGCAATTTGTTATTCTCCTACTGAAGTGCAGGTCTACCACTACCTCAGAACTCTGCCATCTCATTCTACTGTTAATCAGACCTGCAAATGTTTAACAATAGCCATGTGTGGTGTAGTAGTTTGAGTGTTGGACTAGGACTCCGAGAGACCAGGGTTTGAATCCTGCTTGGTCATGAAAATCCACTGGGTGACCTTGAGCAAGTCACACTCTCTCAGCCTTCTAGGAAGCCAGTGGCAAACATCTGAACAAATTTTGCCAAAAAAATGCATAGAATAGGGTTGCTGTAAACCAGAGACCTATTGAAGGCAAAACCCAACAACCAACAACACACACTAGGCTGGTGTTATTGTTCCTGTGCTGAATACAGGGTGGGATAGACTCTACCTCTTAGACATACAGGTTTCTGTAAGTGTTGTTAATGAGTTTATATTAAACCGCTGCTTGGGCTGAAATTCTGTCTCAAGTTAGCTTCCAGAGATTTCAGTTCAAGTCCCATTTAATACAGCAGGACTTACTTTGGAGGAAACATGCTTAGGATTGAGTACTGGAGCATTATGACCAATGAACATAGAACATAGCCCCAATCTCCTTATAACCTGTTAGCCCAGCCCCACAGACAAGAAGAGACTACTTTCTGCAAAAGCAGAGGTGATTCATCTTTTCTGTCACCAGCCACATGACCTTTATGGGAATCTCTTGGAAGCATATACCAGGGGGCTAGGTGCTTATGGTGGGCCACTCTATTTCTCTTGTATCACCATCACCACCACCACTAAGAAGTAAGTCCCATGGAACTCAGTGAGTTCTAATTCTGAGAAGACATATATATATGTAATTGCAGTGTACTTTACAGCAAGCATGAGTGCAAAGAGATTGTGCTAGCATAACTGTTCCTAACCTTGGGCTACAGTTTCCATCATCTTAAGCCACAATGACTAATGGTGGAGTGTGTTGGAAATTATAATCCAGACCATCTAAAGGGCACCAGGTTGGGAATTATCAGCTGCTAATGGCTTTTTCTTAGTCTCATAGACTTGCTGAATCTTTGCAGAGAATGACTTGTGTCTGAACCCTGTTTCTTTGTTTTCTGCAGGAGAATGGAGTGGAAAACATGGTGGACCTTTTATTTCTCTTTACTACTGGCACTTCATTCTCAGGGAGGGAGAAAAATGAGATTTAATGGCCTAGAATAAGATACATGAGGCTTAATAGAATGAAAGCGAAGAAAAATGCAAATTAGAGAATGTCAGTAACCAGAAGAACATGGTCTAATTACTTATCAGACAACCAAGCCACCTTTTAAAACTTTTGATTGAGGAAACCCATTTTGCATGAAACTTCATTTTTATTCCACATCAAAGAACCTGTAAAGGAGTGAATATTAATTAGTTTTTACTGCTTGGAACAAGTTGGTGATTTGAGAGGCAGCTCAAAAGAGACACCACATGGGAGAAAAATTATTTAAGTGCCCCATCCCTGGGGAAAGTTTTCTAAGAAGCTCAGATGTCTTTCAGCATCAGCAAAACCATACATCAGATGGGCTGTATAAATGCCTGGTGTGTGGGAAATGTTTCACTCATAGTAAGAACTTCAGCACTCACCAGAGAATCCACACTGGAGAAAAACCTTACAAGTGCCCCGATTGTGGAAAAAGGTATGGTGCAAGCTCCACCCTTAGTAGGCATCGAAAAATCCACATGGAAGAAAAACCCTATAAATGCCCAGACTGTGAGAAGAGTTTCAGTTATAAAGCAGACCTCATTAAACACCATCGAGTTCACACTGGAGAGAAACCTTATGTATGCCATGAGTGTGGAAAGAGCTTTAGCCAAAGCTCAAATTTTGTTACTCACCAGAGAAGCCACACAGGAGAGAGACCTTATGAATGTCCTGACTGTGGGAAAAGTTTTACTGTGAGTTCAAGCCTTATTGAACATCAGCGAGTCCACACCGCTGAGAAGCCCTTCTTGTGTACAAAATGTGGGAAAAGTTTCAATCGGAGCTCACATCTTAATGTGCATCAGAGAATCCACACTGGAGAGAGGCCTTTTCAGTGTTCTGATTGTGGAAAAGGCTTTACTATACTCTCCACCCTTAGTAAACACCAAAGAATCCACACTGGAGAAAAACCTTATAAATGCCCCAAGTGTGAGCGAAGCTTTCGGGTGAGCTCAATTCTCACCCAGCATATCAGAACCCACACGGGTGAGAAACCATACATTTGTCCTGACTGTGGGAGAAGCTTCAGTCAAAAGTCACCTCTCATTGCTCACCAGAGACTTCATACTCGTCAAAAAACTAAATGATTGGTCTGAAACAAAGTAGTATGATTTAGAAATGGATGAGTAATAAGTGATTGTTTGGGATGTGAGGATAAGAAAATGGGATGGGATACAAAATGAATGGAGCTATACTGTACTTATTTCCTTCCTACACAGAATTATTTGTGTGTTGTTGTTTTTAGAAATTATATACTTCCCTTTTTTACTTATTTCCTTAAAACCAACTCCCTTTGTTTGAGAGCATTTAAGAAAAGAAAATGCAGCTGATATTGTTTTTGCAGAGCCCTTCAAGTAGGGAAGTTATAAATCCAAATTCATTTATGTCATAAATGATGCATGGGATTGTTATAAGGATAAATGGTACTAGGTCTTTTAAAGTCCTTTTTACATAGAAAAGTGCTATTGTTGTGAGTCTTATCTTCAGAAGGGGTTTGTCATTGCCACCCTCTGAGACTGAGAGAGTGTGGCTTGTTGAAGGTCATCTGGTGGGTTTACATGACTGAGCCAGGATTCGGACTATGGTTTCCAGTCACAGTCCATCTCATACCACTGCACCATACTGACTCAGAAGAGCTATGGAACCAATAAAATGACTTAAAATGATTTACAATGATTGTCTTCATGTAATAAATAGTGAATTATTGCTTAAGGATGTTGTTAGGCCAAGATTTCTTTAACCCTCATTTCTCATGGCCCTGTTCTTGTTACCTTCTTCTTGGCCAACAAGACATGGCACTTCAGACTCATACAAGCTGAGTCTCCCTTATTTGGAATTCTTAATTTTTCTAAAAAATGAAACTTTTTAATAAGTGGCTGAGATA